GATTTTATCATTGACTCATATTGGCAGGATTTAGGTCATCACACACGTGATCCCAGATGAGAGGTATCAAAATCCATAACTCACAACAAAAATTCTGAATTGGTCCTTTAATCGGCATGCCTTTATTAGTGAAAACACAGAGTATCATCAAAAAATTCAAAGGAGACAATAATTGGGTCTTGAAAGGGTGACTAAGTGAGTATCATTTTTATACGTGGCTGTGTGCAGAGCCCTGGTGGTGCAGTTCTTGAGCGTCTGGCTGCTAACCACAAGGTTTGAATCCACCAGCCGTTCCCTGGAAACCCCATGAGACAGCTGTACTCTGTCCTATAGGGTTGCTATGAGTCGGAATCGACTCGACGGCGACGGCTTTGATGTGTAGAGACAGACAGGCAGGCTGTCAGGCCTCTGCCGCGCTGTTTCCGGCCGCCAGAGTTGGATGTGTTGAGAAAGGGAAAGTTTGGGGCTGGAGACTCAGAAGGCAGCTGTGGTTGTAACCTGCCATCTAGACATTCCCAGGAAGGTAGTCCAGTCCTGCCACTCAGCTCTCTTTTAGGGCTGGTTGCTCATGGGGCTGGTTGTCCCCTCCCTTTTAGCTTCCCTCCCCTTCATCTATTTCCATCTGGTTTCTGCTCCTGTGAAGAACCACTTCTTTTGACCATTCTCTGCTCTAATGGGTTGTCTTTACTCACAGAGGGCTCGGTTAGGACCGTCTGCATCAGAACTATCTCAAGGACTCGTTAAAAATGCAGATTCCAATACCTGGCCTTGACCCACTGAAAGAGAATATGAATCAGAATCTGGCCTAGGGGTGGAATCTGCATTTCTGACAAGGGGTACTGGTCAGCCATACTAAATTCTGAGACTTCCTTCTCTCCAAATGCTGCTGCCGTTGGCTGCATGAAGATGGAGGGGGCTGTGCGGAGGCCACACAGCTCAGTGGTCCATAGCTCAGTCAGGACCTGGAGCTAGACACTAGTGATTTCTGGCTTGACCACTCACCAGCTTGGATCTGTTTCTTTATCTTTCTAAGCTATAGTTCCCTCTTACAAAACAAAAAAGGATAATGACTGTACCCACCTCGTAGGAAAACTCTCCCTTTGTGCGCTAGGTACTCAGTAAACGTTGGCAAGTTACTATATTGTGGCTACTACAGGAAAAAGACACTTGAGTTTCTGTGACACTGTCATGACAGGAAGTCCCCGTCTAGAAGCTGCCTGAACTCCAGACTTGTCAGTCATGTCTGGTTTGCAGGAGCTGGAGACGCACATGCTCCTGGTGAGAGGACGCAGGGTCTGAGCAGATGGTCCAAAACGAGAGAGGGCCTTGAACCAAGAACAGGAGAGACGGTGACTGCCTAGGTCCCTGGAGGAAGTAGCCAGAAGAGGCCTAGGGAATGA